AATAAAATTGTTTCTAATTTAAATTTTTAAAAATTATTTTTTTAAAATGTGTCCTTAAAAGTTAAGATAATGAAGAAAAACAGGTTAAAAATCATCTATAAAAATCAAACATATAGACATGTAGGTGTGTTTTCACGGGTAATCAGAGGCATGTTTTAAATAGATGGCCTTCAAACATTTCAGAGATCTACAGAATATGTCATTTTAATGTTTTAATAACATAGGGCTTTTCATAGCAGTGAGACATGTCTGCTCTTGACAACACCAACCTACTTCATAAAAGGATGCTGGGCATTGAAAAACCTCCATATTGAGTTTGCTTACTTTGTGGCAAAAGCTAGCCATTTGGGAAAGAAACTGTCCTTTTTTTTGACTGCTGACAGTATGCTGTCCAAATTGGATAAGCAGAACACAAAAGAAAGTGGCATGGTAGGACAGGCCTTCAAAAGTGCCCGTTTCACAGAAAAGTCTAGGCCCATAGGCTTGTTGTGCCTACAGGGTTTCCTCAACCTCCAAGGAAATGACTCCCAACTGCAAAAGCAAAAGGTTTTTATTGCTAAGAACCAAACCAGCTGGGACCTCACTCTATCAGAAGAGTAAGGTGCCTGCTTACAATTGCAAAGCGTTTTTAAAGGGAAAGGAAGGTTTGAGACTGCTAGTCTCAGTCCATAAGGTTTCTAAGGTTACAGAGATTTCATAGAGTACAAAATTTCTACAAAGTGGGATTGCTTAGCGCACCTGCAAGGTTAGGGGGTTTTCTTTCTCTAGGACCAGCAAGCTCAGTGGCCTTATCCTTGAGATAATGGGGGGCAGGGAGAATGTGCTCTCCAGTCAGGGAGTTATCTATATCTATTGGCAGAAGCACTTGTTCTTTCTGGTTTTCCCTTCTTGCCATGAGTCCCATATCTTTTAATTATTAATTTTCCCTCACAGGCTGAAGATGGATGCCTCAACATTAAAGAGGAACCTTGGGTAACTGTCCAGGCAGCCAGCTGTTTCTCTCATTTCTTATAGTTTTGCAAGTTACTTTCTCTGCACTTCCTGTTTACTCAAGTAATATTTTAGCCTTCTTTGGTCTCTGTTGGGGATTGAGGACTAGAGAGTTGATGGGGGATGTCCTTCTGCATATATGTTTCTCTTATTGGTTGATGAGTAAATCACTGTCTGACCAATAGTCAGTAGAGGCAGGAAGATAGGCGGGGCTAGAAGATGAAGAGAAGGCACACAATGGGATGCATGTAGCGGGCAAAAGGAGTAACAAGTTTGGGAATTCTCCAGTAAGCCAAGACCATGTGGAAACACATAGATTAATAAAAGGGGTTAATAATTAAGACAGAGCTAGCCAATAAGGAGCCCTAGCCATCAGCAAAGAGTTTGATAATTAATACAAGTCTTTGTGTACTATTCGGGGCTAAAGTGCCAGCAGGTCTTGGCAGGAAAGAGAAATTACAGCAACAGATAGTTATAATTTTGCAGTTTTCCTTGTTACCAAATTCAGAAAAGAAACTTACATAAGAGATGTAAAGTTTATGAGGTTGAGAAACATAAACGCTGTAAGTTACTTACCTAAAAAGATGTTTTAAGGTCTAAAAAGATATTTTTAGGATGGTAATTCAAGTTATGACTAAAAATGGTTTAAGTACAAAACTTTGGACTAAGATAGGGTAGATAATGCATTATTTTCTCTAAATTTGCCTAATGCGAATGGACTGGATGTTATAAATGTAATTCTTACCTGATAAATGGTCTTACTGCATATAGTTTTACTATGTCAGAATTAAAACCATTTCCTTTTTATTGAGACAAAATAGGAAAATGTTGTTAGGTATTTGATTACATAAAGATATATCACTGTGATTGGTTTAATAAAAAGCTAAATAACCAATATCTAGATAGAAAATATATCAAGGACTTCTGGGAAAAGAGAGATCTGGGGAGAAGAAGGGCAGAGTCACCAGCCAAACAGAGAGGAAACAGGAGGTGCAAGATGAAAGGTAACACCATGGATAAAATGTATATTAATATAAATGGGTTAATTTAAGTTATAAGAGCTAGTTAGGGACAAATCTAAACTACAGGCTGAGCTTTCAGAATAAGAAGTCTCCATGTCATTGTGTGAAGGTGGCCCAAAGAAAAGCCAGACTACAGTTAGTTGCATGCCATAACTAGAGGGTAAGACCCTAGTGCTGAAGATACCATATGCTTTGGATGCAAGAAAGACACAGAGAAATAAATCTGGACTGATCTGGAAGCTACTTCCTTACCCGCTGGATTGCATAGTGGTAGGGGGTACTTTGTGGACTGCTCGGGAAGAAATGATACTAAGGGTCCTGCTTAGCTGTAGACTTTGTATGCTACAGTACCAAAATACCAGGCAGAATGGCACAAACTCATGGGTACAGCCAACAGATTTCTGATTAGATTTGAAGAACACTTAACAGGAGGACATTCATGTCTAGAACTGTAAATCAAGACAAAACCCAATGACTAGAGAGGTGTTAGGCCCCAGTAGGAAGGCCACTACTGTTTTATTACATGGCTATGATGTGCCTATCAAACTGCCTCATAAATATTTATGCTTAAGACAAAGGTCAATGTTGCTGTCAGTCACTATTGGGCATTACAGTAGGTGGTGTACCACACAGACTCATAAACCCCCCATGGAAGCTCCCGGGAACAAGTGATTGTCATTATGGTATAACAGTCCAGTGTCATCTATATCACCCTCTATAAAGCTCAGAGAACATTATGGAAGAGAGAACCAAAAGAATTTAAAGTCAGTTTATGTAGCAATTTCCTCAGAGCTGAACTAGTCTACCCTGCCAGGGAGGCTTCTTATGATTCAGGAAGTCTAAGTTCAAACATTCTCTCCAGGAAAGAGCTTGGGAGAAAACTCAAGAGCCTCAAGAACAAACAACTTAGGAGTCACGAGAAGTTTCTTAAATGAACAATATATACAGCCTACTCCCCCCAAAAAAGTTATAGACCCAATAAACAATTGCTAGGTAACCAGAAAGTTAAAATGGGCCATTGTGGGAGGGGAACATAGAGGGGCAAAACAGGGTGCAAATGAATTGAAGAAGTGAGGAAAATGGGTGGATCTTAACTAGGGAGGGGGAGAGGGATAAGTATAGAAAAGAAAATCGGTAGGGTGAAATAATAATAGCAAGGTGTCTGAAAAGTCCCAAGAAAATCATACTATTAACTACCTACCTAAAATAGCTGTGATACACGTAAGACAATGTATAAATATGCAGATGTAATTGAAATAAAATTTTCCTGTGTTGACAATGCTTTGCCCAAAGCTACAGAACACCTAACAAAAACCCAACACCAGTCATAAGAAGCCCATTTCTGAGTTGTTGTTCAGTATTGTTCAAGAGACTCCCAAAATATTATGGGCCATTGGTGGTGTCCTTGTTTGCACACACACTTCAGAGGTGGAAGGTGAAGACACTTGAGATAGCTTGAAAAAAGAAAAATGGCCTCCATAGGGAGGCCATAGGGAGGCACTATTAGGAGGTGTGGCTTTGTTGGAGTAGATGTGGCCTTCTTGGAGGAAGTATGTTCTGGTAGAAGCTCCATCCCAGACCTAGCATCCATATACCCAAAGAATCTGGGATGTTCTGGCAGAAGTTCCATCTCAACCCCTCTCTCCTATCTCTCTCTCCCCAAACCTTATCTTATCCCAGAAAGCCCACCAAGCATGGCTCCTCCCCTCAGAGATGCTGAAGACCACTCCCATTGGTTATTTAAACTACCCCCCACCCCAGAAAACAGACATGTGGCTTTTCGGTATGTCTTTCCTGTCTCCTCTCTGGGGTGAAGGGGATCACCCAGGAGCATTTTATCCATTAAACCTTGGCTTTTTATAACTGTTTTAATTTGGTCTGATTTGGATTGATGCATTGGCTGAGAGGCTTATTGGGGTACAGAAACTTTTCAAAGTGTGTCACTGTGGGAGTGAGCTTTGGAGTCTTCTATGCTCAAGCTACACTTGATGTGACACATAGTTGCTTCTGCTGCCCGCAGTTCAAGATGGAGAACCCTCATCTCCTTCTCCAGCATCATGTCTGCTGCATGCCACCATGTCACCCACCATGATGATAATGGACTAAACCTCTGAACAGTAAGCCCCCCCAATTAAATGTTTCCCTTTATAAGGGTTGCCGTGGTCTCAGTTATCCAATACCAAATGGTCAGCTTGAAGACAAACATACACATAACATTATATAGACCAAGCTGGCTGTATTTTTCTATTTAGAAATATATATATATGGTGTGTATATATATATATATATATATATATCTTATAAATGTGTATATAGGAATATATATTGTGTATATAATTATAACAAAGAAAAACAGACCATGAATTTTAAAAAGAGCAATGAAGGGGTATGTGGGAGGGTCTGAAGTGAGGAAAGGGAAGGGGGAAATGAGTAACTATATTGTCTCAAAAAAATTTTAAATCTTAAAAATAACATGATTGCTAGAGAACAAAAGAGGAGGCAGTGCTGCTTGGAAGAGGCTCACTGACCTATCAAGCTGGCCAGAAGTTGAGCAGAGCACTCCCAGGATGCCTCATTTGTAAGCTGTCATTGGTGGTGAGGTTGGATTTCAGTGATGTGGCCGCCTGTGAGTCATCCCCACCTCTGTAAGTAACCCTTCACCCATGCACCCAAGTAACCCCAATAAACTCAATATCTAGCCACTTGGAACTTCAGTGTGAGTGTTATTTTGGTCTGTCATTGGTTTCCTATCTTGGGTGAATAGACAATTGTGTTGCATAGTCTCAGGAAAAATCTCACATAACAGAGAGGCTGTCAAGGAGAATGTGGCCGAGTCCAGGGATAACAGTAACCCAAGGAGAGGATGTGATCTCATGGGAAAGGGTGGGTAGTAATTACATCCTACCTCTACCCTGACCCCTGACCTAGGGAACAGTTGTTAAATCAACAGTGACCTCACAATCACTCTCCTGGCCTTCAGTCCCCCAGGTCAACATCCATCTACTTCTTACCTCTGCCCTTTATCATTACAACCAGAGGACACATCCTGCCTCTGGATCACCACACCAGCAGACCTAGGGAAAAGATAAAAGAGTGACTGCTCTCCTGTGGGACATAGCCAAGACATCAGCATGTCAGAAGACTTAAAAGATCTGATGCCCACTGAGAGGAAGTCCGTTTGGAGGTCCGCTGAAGAGAGGCGGATGTCTGACCTCACCCGGGTGCTGGAGTGGCTAGAGAGGAGGCAGGGCAAGAAGAAGCGTGCCCTCCAGGTGTGTACATTGGAAGAATTAGCTGGAAGACTTTATGCAAGACTATTGACAGGAGAAAGAATTGGAATTCAACACCCCCAAATGAAAGGGGATCATTTTTTAAACACTGGGGTAAGCTAGTAGGGGCATCCTAGATGTAAGATCACTCGCCCTAAGCTGTGTTTCCTAAGGGCAATGGTCATACCTGGGCTTCTCTCCCACCAAAGACAGGGTTACAATCTTTCCTGGTGGCCATATTTTAAGGGATGACTCCAGGTCATCGAGAAAGATGCTTCTCTATAGAAAATGTAGGATGAGACTAACGGATCTCTATTTCAGAGAGGAGAGAGGAGATTGACCAAATGCAAGTGTTCTGAAGTAAACACTCTAGAAGGCACTCGAGTCAGAATCTGTGATGAGGAAGAAGTCTGTCTGCCATTAGGTCAAACTGTGGGCATTGCTTGTGTCTGTCAGTGTTGGAAACAGTCATGGGCACTAGCCTATGGGGTCTCCATGCAGGCAAATCAGGAGCCATCCCACTGTCCACAGCTTCTTCCCTTCTGATGGCTTCAGGATAGATCATTGATTCCTACTGCCATTCCTCCACTGAGACCCCCCTAGGAGAATATACCTTATTCCTCCACCACTTAAGGGGCTGCTCTCACCAACCCATTCCTCTTTCATGGAGGGTCTTAGGTACCAAATTTGCCTTTTTACAAAGACTTTAGGTCCCCTGCGTCCATTATTTGTGAAAAACAAGTCAGGCCTATGGAAGATGGTACCCTCTTCCCTGCATCCCCCAGCTGTAGATGATGCTTAGATCATATGGCCTCTTGTCCCAGAGCACATTGATCATCAGCAGATTTCAGGGCCCATATAAAAAGCCAGGCACCATGGTCACCTTGAATCTTACTTAGTACTGGAAGCTGAAAACAAACAGATCCTGGGGACTGTTGAGCTCTGTGCTCAGAGACTCTGTCTCAAAAATAAGGTTGAGAAGAATTAGTTAAGAAAGACAAATGGTTGTGAATCTCTGATGACTCCCACATGTGTTAGTGTTCTCAAGTATCTGCACATACACATAAGGGTGTGCACACATGTACCACACACACACACACACACACACACACACACACACACACACACACCATTCTGGAATGTTGAGAAAGATGGATGCTAGCTAGTGTGGTCCAAAGGTCAAGAGACAGTGAGGGGACAAGAGTCTCTAGAGTGTAGGTGGTTTCCCACATGCCAGGAATGTTCTCCCATTTAGGGACAGTAGATGGAACCCTCACCGGGTGGATACAGAGCTATTTTTCCTGCCTTTTCAGAAAAATATCGAAGAGACAACCCGTGCAGAAGAGAAGGTAGGAAAGAAAACCTCAAGTGCTAAGAAGAAGCAAGACAAAGATGGCCGCAGGGTGACCTTCAACAAGGTAACCGCCCCTCCGCCTCTCCCCACCGCGGCTCCTCTGCTACGGTGTCTTGCCACATGGTTTATGAAGATCCCTTGATGCCTCTGCCCCATAATGATAGCCCAACAAATGAGTGCCCTGCACCCACCCCCACCCTGTGCTGCTTGACCAACAATCCCTACCTTCCTGAGGTCCAGTTTCAGGACAAGGGTCTCAGCTTCCTCCACCCACATTTCTCCCTCCACACTCAAGGATGCCAAGGCCTACAGAGCCATGAGAGCACTCAGCCCTGTAGCTATAGGGTATCCCCGACCTGCCTGCAGGCATGGGCTGCATGCACCCCTAGGAGCTAAGGAGAAATAAAAGTGAAGTCTCAGTAAGCCAGCAGAGAGGACACTCCTGCCCCCCTTGAACTCTTCTGGACCCAGGACAGCTCCTTGAGCCAATTGTGGAAACTTCTCAGTTTGGGTCTGGAGGATGCTGAGCATAATTTCTCTCCTGGCTCCAAGAATCAAGACCCAAACGTCAGCAAGAAGTTGATCACTGCCTTCCGCAAGGGGTATGGAGCAGACATAAGGGGCAAGCGTATAAGCATGTTGCCTAGCAACCTCATCAGGGACGGCTATAAGAAGTCAGGTAAGGAAAGAACCTGGGCCCTGGGGTACTAGAACTGTCCTTCCTGTTCCAGCTTCTCAGAGGCAGGGAAGAGCTGCCCATTCATTTCAGTTGAAACCTGTGTCCTCAGGGAATCGCTCCCAGGATGGCTTTTGACAATCTTGGAATGACTGGATGGGAGGGAGTGGTTGTTATGCTCCATTTATTCCCAAATATTCTCAATATTCCATCACAGTGTGTTGTTCAATCTAGAACTATTTTGGTGACACTACCTTTGTGAGTTCCAAATGTCCTAAATTAAACACGGTGGCAATGTCTGCTACAGAAGGCGCCACCCTGGTGACCTGACATCCCTAGAAAGGGACAGGCCTGAGTTACAGTTCACAGTCCTGCTCCACCACTCAGCTCGATCATCCCAGCTGTGCGCCCAGGTCTGGGTTCTAGGTTTCTCACATAGTAAGCACTTCCTCTGGAGTGTGGCTGTGGGGGCTGCAGTATTAGGGGGCCTGTAAATCAGTCTGACATGGAAGTGCTCAGTAAGGTGACGCCAGAGGGATGGAAAACAGATACACTAAGCTTTGGCCGTGCTTGGCCTCTTGGGACACGAGCTTATGGTCAAGGTGGAATCTGGAAGGCATTCCTACTTGCCCATGTAGAAAGTGGGCAGGCACTTGGAGCAGGAGTCACCCAGATGTCCCTTTGTGTCCCAAAACAAATACTTTCCCCCATCATTTCAGTTAGCACGCCAAAGCCATTCTATGCAACCTGAAGCCTCCTGTCTGTCACAATTTAGTATGACAGAGGACCTGTGGTGCTAAGAGCATTAGGGGACTCTGGATTGAACCCACGGCATCTCAACAATGAGACATCCGTCTAATCCAAAGAAGCCCTGCAAATTGTCACTAAGAGATCCCTTGCTTTTGGTAAAGGCACCACGGTCATACGAGATAGGACCATTCAAGAAAACTGAGTGAAGGGAATTAGAAACCCTCATTTTCTTTAAAGCTACTCTAATGGTTATTATATAAAGTTATATAAATTCTTAATTATTCTAAAATGTTATTAAAAAGTTACTGTAGAAATAAAATCAAGATGGAAACTCCGTACTTCGGCCAGTGATTCCCACTGTCACTGTCACCACCATGCCGGCCCCACTGGGTTCTTGAGCTTCCTTAAACCTTGTTTCCAGCAGACCCCCCTCCTCCCTGCTCCCTGAAGCTTAGATGCACAGTAATCTTGCTACTGTGATTTCTTCCCAGACTCCTCACAGGAAGCCTTTGTGTGTGAGCACACTTCACTGAGACTTTCGGGGTCAGCACAGGCTAAGAATCACATCACAGAGGAACAGTGCACACAAATCAGGGGCTGGTCAGGAGACCCCACTTTCATTCTTCAGAGTCCTTTGTCTTCTAACCCCCCAAAGATGTTCTTAGCAGCACTTGCCAGCAAGGAAAGCTTCCTGGGGTTTTCTGAAAGTTCCAGGCGGAGTGGAGAGTGGAGCAACTGGAGGTGCTGGGATTCATCGTTGATGGAGAGCAGAGCCTGCTTAAGGATCCTCTACCATAGCTCTGGTCCTCCAAGGTTCTTCTTCCCCTCTTCTGTTTCATTCATACAGTATGCTGTTAACTCTGATCTTAGTTTCTCCTGTCTCATTCATACAGTACCCAATCAACTCTGATCTTAGTTTCTTCTGTCTCATTCATACAGTATGCTATCAGCTCTGATTTTTCTTTCTTCTGTCTCATTCACAAAGGATGCTATCAAGGCATTTCCCTAAACAAAATCAGTCCCTTCCCTACAGGAATTGATAATTTCCTACAGGCAGTGGATAATTTCTCCTCTGTGTACAAAATGTAGATATGAAGGTTGGCTTGCAGGAAGTTTGGTCCTCTGTTGTCCTTTTATTCTCTCCCTTGCCATCTGAGACAAACTTACTATAACTGGGAATAAAGAAGTCTTGCTTCTTCTGATGTAAAACAACCCATAGCCACTGGAGAGCAGTAAATGTGCCTGGGCATCTAAGAAACACCTTTATCTGTCCTCATTTGGCATCCAGAACTGAGTGATCTTCCGATGTAGTCTTGCATGCTACCTTAGACGAGCAGGCAGGATCTACACAGGGAGGCATGATGGCGATCAGGTGGCCTGAGTGGGGAAGGTGCCAGGCACATGCCTAAATCCCATTGATATTTCGAGCTCTACAGACTCAACAAGCATCGGGGCCTTCACGTCAGAGGGCAGTGCAATCTCCCGAGCAGAAAGAGATTCTCTTGGTGTCCTTCTCCTCCATCAGCCTTCATGGCCTGGTCTGGTGGCTTCTCTTTATGCTTTCATCTGCTTCTCTTCCCTTTGTCTTCACCACTGTTGTCTCAGTTTGCCCTTAGTCCTCCACTGAACAATCCCCTTGCAGTTTTGGCTCCCATGGTTGCCACATTTACCTTCCTAACTAACTCGTGTGTTTATGTTTAATATGATTTTCTTCATTACATTGCCATAGAAAAATAATAAAACTCAAATGATGAGTAACTTACCACAGAGAAATGGAGATCAATGAACAATTTTCTTAAAGCTTAATGAACAATAAGGCAATGATCATCAGAGAAGCTTCCTCGAACTTCAGTAAATGGGAGCTAATGCAGAGATTCATGACTGGACAATGTACGGAGTGAGCCTTGGAACACTCAGTCCTAAATGGGATGTCTCCATCAAATCTCTCCTCTCGGGGGTCAGGGCGCTGTGCAGAAGAGGAGATGGAAAGACTGTGAGAGCCAGATGGAGGACACCAAGGAAGCAAAGCCTTTAAACACAGTAGGACTGACAAGTAAATGAACTCACAGAGACTGAGGCAGCATGCACAGGGCCTGCACAAGTCTGAGCCAAAAGGGCTCCCAGCACATGGAGGGGAAAGTGGACACAAGTTCCGTCCCCAACCAAGAAACTACCTCCAACTGACAACCGTTTGCAAAGGAAAAATCAGTTTTCTTCAATGAAGTCTCACTGGCTATATAAATCACACTTAAGGACAGGCCCCAGCAGTACATGGCCAACGCAAAATGAACTCAATGGTACTGTTAGAGGGATATTTTTTGTCTCATATTTATTGCTTTGTCTAGCCTTACTGGCCTTTTGCCTATATTTTATGGTTTCTAATTTTGTGCTTTTATGGGTTCTATTTGGGTGAGTGGGTGTCCCATGCTTTTTCTGTTTTGTTTTTTTTAAATTTTGGGGTTTCTTTTGTTTTTCCTTCTTGTTTCCTAAAAAAAAAGAAAAAGAGAGAAAGAGAGAGATGAAGGGAGGAAGGGAAAAGAAAGAGAGAAGGAAAAAGGAGTTGGATGAGGGTCTGGGATGTGTGAGATGAAGAAGAAATTGTGATCAAAATGCATTGAAAAAAATCTTCAATTAAAACAATAGGATACTAAGATACAAAAAAGGCAACAACATGAGATTAGGAAAAGCATGTTTGAATAAAATGAGAAGTGAAACAAAGAAATAGAACCACTTTTTTAAAAAACAAAAATCTTAGGACTCGAGGAACACAGAGTCCTATAATGCAGCATTTGAACAGCATAACCAGTGAAATAGAAGAATCCTCAACTCAAAGACACTTTTGAAACTATCTAGTGAGAAGGACAAACAGGAAATTCAAGAAAATACCATATTCAGCGTGACCATCTGAAAAAAGAGAAGAAAGACGGGGAAGATCATCTAAGAAAGAAATGAAGGAAGCATGGTGGTGAGCACTGAAATCCAGCACTCAGGAGGCAGAGGCAGGCTGGCCTCTGAGTCACAGGACAGCCTGCGCTATATAGTGAAGTTGCAGGCCAGCCAAGGCTACATAAAGACACAATCTCGCCAAACAAACAAACAAACAAACAAACAAACAAGAAATACATGAATGAAAACTTGCAAAATTTGGGGAGAGAAAAATCTTCAATTCATGAGGTTCCAAACATCTATACCAAGACACATTAAATCCAAGTCTACGCAAAGAATTTGAAAGCAACAGAAAAGCAACTTTTCATACAGAGATCTTCCATAAGATTGTGAATTTCTAAGTACAAATGCTGTAGACCAGGACACAGGTAGAGGATGACATATTCAAAATAATGAAAGAAGAAAGAACTGGCACCCCAAAAATCCTGTACCCATGAGAGCTGTGCATTAGATATGGAAGAGATGCTGGCGGGGGGGAGGGTTCACACCTTTATTCACAATGCTCGGAAGGCAGAGGCAGGTGGATCTCTGAGTTTGCAGTCAGCCTGGTTTACAGAGCAAGCTCCAGGACAGCCAAGGCTACACAGAGAAGCCCTGCCTCACTGAAAAAAAAAAAAGAAAGAAAGAAAGAAATGGAAGAGACAACCAAACATGGTAACACATGCCTGTAAGTAATCCCAGCACTCAGGGGCTGAACTCAATCACAAGCCAAGGCCAACCTGGGCTACATGAGACCCTATCTCAGAGAAAAGGGGGTGAGGGTAGTATGTATTTTTACAAACTGGCAAAATCAAAACTACAAGAGGGTGTTTCTCAACAGAAATAAGAGGCTATGTATTAACAACATGCTTACAAATTAATGTAAAAAAAAAATCTTCTGGCTAACAGTAACTATATAGTCAAACTCAGAATGCTATGGCATAGCAATGGTTGTTTGTAAGTCATGTCCAAAGCTGAAATGATAGATAGAGCTATGTGCATACTTGTGTGATGTGTAGTCCATATGTGGGTATGTACACATGAGTGCAGGTGCTTGAGGAGGCAAGACATGTCCGACCCCCTGGAGATGGCATTACAAGAGGTTGTGAGCCACCGCATTTGGGGTTCCAGGAACCAAACTCAGGTCCTCTGCAAGAGTGGTATGTGCTCTTAACTGTGAGGCATCTCTGCAGCCTAAGATCAAGCATCTTAAAAGCTATAACTATGAGATATAATTATATCTGGTAAGGGCAATGTTTTTAAATATTTTGTCTTTTATAATTGACTACATAATATTAGTGCATGTTTACATTAACCATGGAACACAA